TTTGCTGGAAAAAATCCGCAATAATTATGCATCAACCTAATATATAGAGGCAGATAAATGCAGGGGAAATAGAAAATATCAAAATAATCGTGTTTTGACCGCCAGGAACGTATGTGTACTTTCACTAGATCACCTAACGAACGATCGCTGAAAAGTTAGTGAGGTCGCGGAATGACTGCGTCACCCTCCAATCTTTCTCGAAGTAGTAAAGCATTATTTCGCGAATATTCGCGGATGGTTTTCTGAGTTATTTTTGTAGAGGAAATCAAGTAGATCATTTCTAGAGAAAACCCGAACTCAACATTCAAATTCTATGGAGAAAAAAACCGCGAAAAAATCCGCAATTATTATGCATCAACCTAATAATTATGGTGAGAATTTTTATTCTGACAAAGTTTTCGCTTCTATTATTAGAGAGAATATTCCGCTAAGTATAAATGCTCAACTCTCCGAAAAGTTCTTGCGCTTTTCTTGCGAGCTATACTTGCATTGGTGAAATTTACTATTACAGAGAAGTGTAGCTAACTCTTAGGAAACCACCCAAATGAGTACTGTATCTAGTACTATATGTTGATTGCTAATATGATTGTGCTTTGTAATTTTATATCAATTTATTGATTAGCTGAGAAAAAAGAGATCTCACTCGCGAATTTTTTCTATTTATAATACCACCGAAAAAGGTGTTTTTACTTCAATTTCCTCTGACCTTATTTATGTGTTTATTTACTTTTTTATTTTATTTATTTCCAACTGCCACTCCTTCTACGCCGAATTATTCTACAAAAAAAAAATCTATCAACGTGGTTGTCCATCAGGAAATTGTGAGCTTACCTGGCCAAGAGCGTAGATAAGTCCAACAGCACCGCCGAGTCGACCGCCGAGTACATGCGAAACGAGAAAGTAGATCCCTCCACTCTTCAAAATAACTTCATTCAGGCAAGTAGCAACAGCAGAATGAAAAAGGAGCCCATTCCTACTTGCTGAATCCCTAATGGACAAACAACTCAGAATGGCTGTCGTAAGAGTCTACGTAAACAAAAACACATGGAATTAGTAATGGAGGAAGAAGCCCGAAAAAGTAGAGCTGCTGTTTTTGGAAACACTCGGAAAGGCCATACTGGGAAGGCGCTCAAAGTGATAGATTCGATTGGTGGACTGAAATTGTCGCTCTAACGGCTTCACCTCTGATGATTCTTCAAGTTTTTTGGGAGTTTCTTCAATCGATAGTCTGTTTGCTTTTATTTTCACGACTATGGATTAGTGGTGTGGACGAGTTATGCGACAAGAGATGGAATCGTGGTTTTTGGACCCAACAGGGATTCCCAATCAATGAACCGTGGAGATGATTGGGAGGGGCGGGCACATCAGTGGAATGTGCATAGCGCCAAGAAATCAGCAACTAGCGATTACCATGGCTTGTTCCCAGGGATGAAAAACAGGAGGTTAATTGGTAATGACAGCTCTGAGCATGGTCGCAATTTGTCAGCCAGTCAGAACTTATTGATCCGAAAATTAATCAATAAATCGATACCTGGATTTGACAGCGTTCAACGATTCCGATGGCTGAGAAGACTGTAATCAAAGCCAATGCTGTACAGAATATAAGAAGCAGAATAGCATTGGCCACACCGGCGGTGCCCTGAATGAGAACCTATCTTGACAAATTCAACTGCGTGATGTACATAGCGGAGTGGGTAGAGGCGCTGTTTCGAGTGTTCACACTCGATAGGTCGAACTCTACACATTCTCTTTGAAAACGGGTTATAAGTTACTAGACAAAACATTACTATTTGAGTAGATTCGAATAGCTAGGATACCCTCGAATGATAGTTTCAGGTCCTTCTCAGGATCCTACATAGGCACGGCAAATGCTTAGCTCCTTCCATGGAGGGGTCCATCTGTCCATCTACGGTCACAACTTCGTTGAACGTTTTGCTGCTCTTCAACAACGTCAAGCTCTCCCCAAATTAGCCCCTTGCTGCTAAGCTCAAACAGATGCAGTCAATCGAAGCTGCTTCACTCTTCTTTTCCCATCCCACCCAGCCAAATTGTGTATGTCGGCCAGCCCCCGGGCAATGGCGCCTCAATTGGGTTCATTGATGGCTTTGACGAATCGGCTGACGAGGATGTGATGACGTTTCCATACATACTGGATGCTTTTACAGTATCCAATGTGAATGTATCAAACCAGTGGGATTATTTACCTCCCTGGGTAGATGGACCACGGAAAAAGGTACGGCCCCATTTATCTAGTGCCCAAAAATCTTTCTTGTGCAGGAAATTTGACAAAATTGCAATTTTAGGGAAAATTCACAGTTTATAGCATGGGAAGCGGAAGAGTTAGTAAGAAATCCTTCAAGGCATCATTAGCAGAGCATTTACTTTATGCCTTTTCATTCATTTCATCAAATTTCGAGCGAAATCGCATTCATGGCTCAATCTGCGACTCACCACAATCCATCCCATTCGTAAGAAAACGATAATACCGAAGATGTTGACCATGACCGTTGTGAAGACTCCATCCCACGTGCCGAATAGTACCGGCTGATTGAGCAGGAAATTTCTGAACAAGTACTTTTGGTGCGATGGAGTGAATTTTTTTTTCACAATTTCCTAATTTCACAATTTTCTTCTTAGAAAAATCTAGAAAACTAGAAAGAAGGAATCAAAATTCCGAAAAAATTCGGGAATTTCCAGAAATACTTTGAATGCGAGATAAAACATTGAAGCTTCATCTTTGTGTTGAATCACGGGGAACTTTTGGTAAAATCATTGTTTTCTTGAGTTTCAGAATAACGAGAGCATTTGAAGAGATATATTTTATGAATATAGGCTCCAAAAAAGTCCCATTATTTTATTGTTCACCTTGGAATTTTATTTCGAAAAGTACAATTCTAGTTGACTCTACGGAAAAGAAAAGTTTTTTTGAAAAAAAAAAGTTGGTTCAAAAACGAGATCTTTTCATTGAACAATGAAGTAACAAAAAAAAAACAGTTACTTATCAAAATTGAACGAACCTCTGCCACCATGGCACGTTCTCCTGCTCGCGAGTCTCATGTGCGTACAGTGAATCCGGCTCCGGCGGCTCCCCAGTCGAGGTGGCGGCAGTTGGAGTGGCCATCTGGTGAGAATAGCCAAATTCCCTGATACACTTCGATATCTATCAAGACATAGATCCACGAAAAGGAAAAAGCGATATCCAGCCATGAAAGTCGGAAAATGGGGAGACGGGCAGTAGGAACGGTTTTATGTAATCGATCCGCCGCGCGCGACTGTCGCGGACCTTTTGCTTCGTTATAGCAGCCCTAGCGTACTTAATACAGCTCAATCACTATGCAATTATTACTTTTGGCATGATCTTACTGTTAGTTCTTTTGTTTCTGTGTTTCTTACTTGCTGCTGCATTCTGCCATATCCCTTCGCGGGCGACGTCCCTCTCGCCGCGACGCGACAGTTTCGCTCCTACCGCACCACACCCCGTGAAATGGGTTTTTCGAAAGAGATGTAGCAGTCGGGGGTGGTGTGGGGGGGGGGGATGTGTGGCGAAAAGGAAACGAAAAACTCATTCGGTGAAGGCGTTCATTTAGCACCCAGCTGGGCAGCACATTTCTCCCCACACTCTTGATGGATTGGTTGATAGGCATAAATAAAATGTATGCATGTGGTATAGCGATTGACCTTGAGCGGCAGATCTTCAGGGAATCGCCAGGTTTTCAGCTTCCATCGAGAACTGTTATACTGTTACTTGTTCGTATGAATGATGACTTGAAGGCACGGCAAAAAGAGCTTCTGAGATTACCCCTAAGATGAATTTGTGGCCCCCAAGGACAGCACGTAGGACATCGTCGGATCGAAAAATTAACTTCGGCAGAGCGTTAAAGGGCTTCGAGACCATCTTGACCGACGTACACGCCTAAAAGTGGACGTGTTATGACGTGTTTTTAAGAATGAAACATTCACAATGAAGCGTCAAGACGCCGACGGATAGTATGCTCATGTGGGAGGCACCCAGACGGTTACGGACATACGATCTCGTACAAGCCCTTTTTTGTTCCTTTTATGAAGCTTTACATTTCTTAAAATCCTCCGATTTTCGCGCTAGATACTCCAGTATCATTGTGGACAGTGCTTTTGAAAGATAGAGCCAGGAGTGTGTTCGGATCACTATTTTTATACTTTGGGTGAGCCTATCAACTAGTCATTTTTCTCTAAATAAGAGTGGATTTTGCTCCGCCCCTGCCCTATAGTAATGCACATTTAATGAATTATTAATCAAAAATCTTATATCATTTAAAATCACTCAGTTAGCCTCAGGAAACTACCCATAACGTTTCTTTTAGGACACTACTTCGTTTGTCAAATCGTTGCAATATAATCACGGGAAATTGCTCATCTCATTTAGTTTTAATGANAGAGTGGATTTTGCTCCGCCCCTGCCCTATAGTAATGCACATTTAATGAATTATTAACCAAAAATCTATATAGCATTCAAAATCACTCGGTTAACCTCAGAAAACTACCCATAACGTTTCTTTTAGGACACTACTTCGTTTGTCAGATCGTTGCAATATAATCACGGGAAATTGCTCATCTCATTTAGTTTTAATGATCCCCGTCGGGCCTGCCATGGGTTCCGGAAAATCTCATTGCGGTGATTGATGGCTTGTTAGGATGTAGTTCTTAGAAGAAAAAACTAGCTAAAAAAGCTGGGCCATGTCCTTTCTATGACTTTCGGTAGGGCGATAACGGGTCACGCAATTTTGGGAACCAGGAAAGACATCAGTTCTTCATGGACAATGCTACAGGTAGGCTTCTCCTATCACGTTGAATAGAGAACGGAAAATTGGTGCGACCAAAAAAAAAATGAATGTGATGCCCTTCTCTTGGAAACTGTTTGGTTAGGGACTTTTGAAATCCAAGGGGTACTGACGATTTCCCACAGGGTGGCTTCCCAGTTCAGGACATATCTCTCCATCACACATTTACCTTGCCCAAGATTACCAGAAGAAATTGTGTAATTCTGTTTTCTGTAAACAAAATACCCGTCCCGAGGGATCCAATCAGTAATTGTGCTGGTCCAGTGTCAACATAGAATCGCTTGGCATAAAGTTAATTTTATAATATCGCAAATATTCGTTTTTCTTTCTCATAGGAGTAGCTTCAAACAATAACAAGTGAAGAAATAGGTAAATAAATAAATAAATAAATGGTCAAGTAGTTAACTACAAATCGTCTACATATGTCAGTGGATCAGAGCGGATCGACACTCGTAGAGTTCTTACAGAGAAGTTAATACTCGCTAAAGATGTGCATTAACTTTGTAAGAGTTCCCTGATAGGGCAATCAGGTGAGGG